CGATGTAGTTGGATCATAGGAATATAAATCGATACATCGATGTAGCAGATGGATCGTTACACCCCTACTATATACGTTTTCCATTAGTCATCTTGTTATTAGTCCCAACCTTGAGCTCCAGTCAACCCCTCCCATCTATCTCTTAACACCATCCATATTGGATTTCTATTTGCCATATATTTTTCAACTGTGCTGTGATGTTTCACAAACGTTTTGAACCTTTCTATTCTCATTGTTTCTATAGATTGTAAATTGAAAATAAACATTTTTGCTGAAAGTATTATATGACTTTTCAGATCACCCAGTAGTGCTATGTGCTGGGTTAGCTCCAGGTAAATATTTATAAAATGGGTTAAACTCATGTATAGTAACTCTAGGTGTAAAATAGTAAATAATGGCTATTTCTCAAAGTATTAACTGTCAATAAGAGTAAAATAAGGTCCACTATCAGCATATCTATTTATTATGGCCAACAATAATATCAAGGGATTAGAAATCTAGGGCTTAAAAACGTAATCGTCTGATGTGGTTTCAACAGGCTTCCCGTTGCGACGACCACGAAGATCCATCTGCTAGCCCTGGCCCGCTAGCACGCGCAATCAACAGCCGTGCCTCCTGCTCGCCTGTGCTTTAGCAGCCTACGATCTGCTCCCGGACTTACTTAGTGCTGTTCACTTGACCTTATGATCACTCAGCTAATGCCTGCTGGACTGTTCCTTTACACGGTACCCCATCTTGTTTATCTGTTTAGCCTTAGCCCAAACTTTAGTCGCCATTACCAGATGTTGTTTTAGCCCTCTCGAATAACACCTATGATTGCGTTATGCCTCTCTCCCAAGTCAATATGCCTAGCCTATTGCTGTTTGGGTTAGTTCTTATTATACAATTTCACTGTAGAGCCCCAAGTTCAGCTCAACCAGCCTCAGAGATCTCCTTTGTCCCACCCCCCATACACCGGCTCAATCGGTACCTCCAGTGATGCCCTCTCTTTCATAGTTACCCAATGCTTAGGTGTACCTCCACTGTACTCATATCCTTCCATATCGTTGTCTGTACATAATGCCCTGAATCTATTCTACAACGTCCGGAAATCTGCCCCCTTTCTCTGTACCCAACGCACTAGAAGACCAGTTCTTAAAGCCTTTAGCCGTATCCTTATTCTATTCCTCCTCTGGTGAGGTAGAGGTTAACCCAGGCCCTGTAGCCCCCAGTATCACGCCTACCCCCCAGGCGCTATCATTTGTTGACTTCTGTAACCGTAACAGCCTTGGTTTCTGGCATGTCAACATCAGAAGTCTCCTCCCCAAGTTTTAGTTATTCACTGCGTTAGCACACACTGCCAACCCTGATGTTCTAGCAGTGTCTGAATCTTGGCTTAGGAAGGCCACCAAAAATTCAGACATTTCCATTCCAAACTACAACATTTTCCATCTAGATAGAACTGCCAAAGGGGGTGGAGTTGCAATCTACTGTAGAGATAGCCTGCAGAGCTCTATCATACTATCCAGGTCTGTGCCCAAACAGTTTGAGCTTCTACTTCTAAAAATCCACCTTTCCAGAAATAAGTCTCTCACTGTTGCCGCTTGCTACAGACCCCCCTCAGCCCCCAGTTGTGCCCTGGACACCATATGTGAATTGCTTGCCCCCCATCTATCCTCAGAGTTCGTACTGCTTGGTGACCTAAACTGGGATATGCTTAACACCCCGGCCGTCCTACAATCTAAACTAGATGCTCTCAATCTAATACAAATTATCAAGGAACCTACCAGGTACAACCATAAATCCGTAAACATGGGTACCCTCATAGATATCGTCCTGACTAATTTACCCTCTAAACTATATTGACCTCATTCTGTCAGTAGAGGATGCCTGGATGTTCTTCAAAAGTTATTTCCTCTCCATCTTAAACGAGCATGCCCCATTAAAAAAAATGCAGAACTAAGAACAGATATAGCCCCTGGTTCTCCTCAGACTTGACTGCACTTGATCAGCACAAAAACATCCTGTGGCGTACTGCATTAGCATCGAACAGCCCCTGCGATATGCAACTTTTCAGGGAAGTCAGGAACCAATATACACAATCAGTTAGGAAAGCAAAGGCTAGCTTTTTCAAACAGAAATGTGCATCCTGTAGCACTAACTCCAAAAAGTTTTGGGACATTAAAGTCCATGGAGAATAATAATAATAATAATAATATGCCATTTAGCAGACGCTTTTATCCAAAGCGACTTACAGTCATGCGTGCATACATTTTTTTTTTGTGTATGGGTGGTCCCGGGGATCGAACCCACTACCTTGGCGTTACAAGCGCCGTGCTCTACCAGCTGAGCTACAGAGGAATAAGAGCACCTCCTGTCACCACCGATAAATCTACGATAATCGAGAATTTCAACAAGCATTTTGCTACGTCTGGCCATGCTTTCCACCTGGCTACCCCTACCCCGGCCACCAGATCTGCACCCTCCGCTGCAACTTGCCCATGCCCCCCCCACTTCTCCTTCACCCAAATTCAGATAGCTGATGTCCTGAAAGAGCTGCTAAATTTGGACCCCTACAAATCAGCTGGGCTAGACAATCTGGACCCTTTCTTTCTCAAATTAGCCGCCGAAATTGTCGCAACCCCTATTACTAGCCTGTTCAACCTCTCTTTCGTATCGTCTGAGATCCCCAGAGATTGGAAAGCTGCCGCAGTCATCCCCCTCTTCAAAGGGGGTGACACGCTAGATCCAAACTGTTACAAACCTATATCCATCCTGCCCTGCTTTTCGAAAGTATTTGAAAGCCTAGTTAAAACAGATCACTGACCGTTTCGAATCCCACCGTACCTTCTCCGCTATGCAATCTGGTTTCCGAGCTGGTCATGAGCGTACCTCAGCCACTCTCAAGGTCCTAAACGATATAATAACCGCGATCGATAAAAGACAGTACTGTGCAGCAGTCTTCATCGACCTGGCCAAGGCTTTTGACTCTGTCAACCACCGCATTCTTATTGGCAGACTAAATAGCCTTGGTTTCTCAAATGACTGCCTCGCCTGGTTCACCAACTACTTCTCAGATAGAGTTCAATGTGTCAAATCGGAGGGCCTGTTTTCTGGACCTCTGGCAGTGTCTGGGGGTGCCACAGGGTTCAATTCTCGGGCCGACTCTATTCTCTGTGTATATCAATGATATCGCTTTTGCTGCTGGTGACTCTCAGATCCACCTCTACGCAGACGACACCATTTTGTATACATCTGGCCCTTCACTGGACACCGTTAACAAACCTCCAAACGAGCTTCAATGCCATACAACACTCCTTCCGTGGCCTCCAACTGCTCTTAAACACTAGTAAAACTAAATGCATGCTCTTCAATCGAACGCTTCTTGCACCCACCCGCCCGACTAGAATCACTGCTCTCGGCGCTTCTGACTTAGAATATGTGGACAACTACAAATACCTAGGTGTCTGGTTAGACCGTAAAATCTCCTTCCAGACTCACATTAAGCATCTCCAATCCAAAGTTAAATCTAGAATTGGCTTCCTATTTCGCAACAAAGCCTCCTTCACTCATGCTGCTAAACATGCCCTCGTGCTCATGCTCCAGGTCATCTATAAATCACTTCTAGGCAAATCCCGCCTTATCTTAGATCATTGGTCACCATAGCAATACCCACCCGTAGTATGCATTCCAGCAGGTATATCTCACTGGTCATCCCCAAAGCCAACACCTCCTTTGGCCGCCATTCCTTCCAGTTCTCTGCTGCAAATGACTGGAACGAACTGCAAATATCTCTGAAGCTGGAGACACTTCTCTCCCTCACTAACTTTAAGCATCAGTTGTCAGAGCAGCTTACCGATCACTGCACCTGCACATCTGTAATTAGCCCACCCAACTACCTCATCCCCATATTATTATTTATTTTGCTCATTTGCACCCCAGTATATCTATTTGCACATCATCTTCTGCACATCTATCACTCCAGTGTTAATACTAAATTGTAATTATTTTGCACTATGGCCTATTTATTGCCTTACCTCCAGAACTTACTACATTTACACACACTGTATATAGATTTTCTATTGTGTTTTTAACAGTACGTTTTGATTATTCCATATGTAACTCCATATGTATCTTGGCCAGGTCGCAGTTGTAAATGACTCAACTGGCTTACCTGGTTAAATAAAAGTTAAATAAAAAATTTTATTTCACCACTTTTACTTCACTACATTCCTAAAGAAAATAAATGTACTTTTTACTCCATTCATTTCCCTTGACACCAAAAAGTACTCGTTACATTTTGAATGCTTAGCAGAACAGGAAAATGGTCCAATTCACACACTTAAAGAGAACATCCCTAGTCATCCCTACAGCATCTGATCTGGCGGACTCACTAAACAAATGCTTACTTTGTAAATGATGTCTGAGTGTTGGAGTGTGCCCCTGGCTATCCGTAAATTAAAAAACAAGAAAATCGTGCCGTCTGGTTTGCTTATTATACGGAATTTAAAATGATTAATACTGTTACTTTTGATCCTTAACCAAATATTTTTAGACTTTTACTCAAGTAGTATTTTACTGGGTGACTTCCACTTTTAATGGAAAATTACTCAAGTAGAAAAAGGAGTCTTTACTTTTACTCAAGTACGACAATTGGGTACATTTTCCACCACTGATTATAGCCTGCCCTACCCCAAACATTGTTTAATAATTAATATCCCATTATGGTGCAGGAGACATAGATTTGATTTTTCCCCTTTGAGGAGTGAGGGTTAGGTTACAGAAAGAAATGCAACAAGCACCAACAACCACTTGTAATCAGTTGTCTTTTAAAATGTGACACTTGTGGTCTCTCAGGTGCACGCACAAGGGAGGGATGGTTGTAAATCCCACAAGCGTGAGATGGAATAGTGTTTTATTTGGGAGTCGGTTTCTCTTTTGACTTCAGATGTTTCATTGTGGAAAAGCTGCTCTTGCAAATGTGCTCCCAAACATGCTGGCCAGTGAAAGCGCAAATTCTCTCAAGTGTGGGAAACTGGACTCGGGCAACAGTTTCCAAAACTCAATCCCCCTCTCGTTCCATTTTGATTGAAGGGGTTGGCCTGCAACTCGCAAAGCTCCATTTGCAAGTCGGCGGGCTGTTCATTCCCAACGGAGGAGATTGGTTCAGTGAACAGATGGATACGAGGCTGCATATCGTGGAAGTCTTGAAAGCGATCTTTGAATTGCTCCTGTAATGTTTTGATGTCATCTGTGTACCTGTTGAAGGGGATGGTGTTCTCGCATTCAGAGATGTCAGGGTACATGTGGGAAAGTGGGCCGGATTTGGCAGATCTAATGACAGGTGGTCTTTGAACAGCTCGAGTTTGCGCTGAAACCCATTCACATTGGCGTAAAAACATCTCATTCTTGCATCTTCAGACTCAAGACATTCAGATGCTGGGTTATGTCATTGAGAAAGGTCAGAGCAGAGAGAAAGCTGATATCCCTCAATTTTTCACAATAACCACTCGTATCCACACTGATGCTCCCCTCCAAAAACAGAGAGATCTATGTGCGCAATGAAAAAAACCTCTCCAGGCATTTACCGCGGCTCATCCATCGTATCCCTGTGTGAAGTTGCAGATCACCATATGCATCGTCGACCTCATCTAGGGAGGCCACAAACTTCGATGGTTGACAGATCTGTTCGCTCATCGGATCAAGTTGGAAACTTTGGTCACAACATCCACGACATGACTGAAGTTCAGCTTCTTTCCAGAGAGCTTCCTACAATTATAAAATGTGTAAAATGTGACATTTCAGTTTAAGTTATTTATACACTGAAAAAATATACATCTGATTTAGAATCTGATTGATTGATTGCTTCTGTGGACAGGTGTCTTTTATACAGGTAACAAGCTGAGATTAGGAGCACTCCCTTTAAGAGTGTGCTCCTAATCTCAGCTCGTTACCTGTATAAAAAGACACCTGGGAGCCAGAAATCTTTCTGATTGAGAGGGGGTCAAATACTTATTTCCCCTCATTAAAATGCAAATCAATTTCTAACATTTTTGACATGCGTTTTTCTGGATTTTTTTGTTGTTATTCTGTCTCTCACTGTTCAAATAAACCTACCATTAAAATTATAGACTGATCATTTCTTTGTCAGTGGGCAAACGTACAAAATCAGCAGGGGATCAAATACTTTTTTCCCCCCTCACTGTATGATAGTCAAGGCCTATCCTATTTAACCATTTCTGTACGTATCCTATCCGACATTCTTCAGATATACTACATACTCTATCCACATTGTCTATTCTGGGCTCCCGAGTGGCGCAGCGGTCTAAGGCACTGCATCTCAGTGCTAGAGGCATCACTACAGACCCTGGTTCGATCACAGGCAGGATCACAATTCGGCCGTGATTTGGAGTCCCATCGTCCGGGTTCGGCCGGGGTAGGCACTCATTGTAAATAAGAATTTGTGGTCCTCTGTAGCTCAGCTGGTAGAGCACGGCGCTTGTAACGCCAAGGTAGTGGGTTCGAGCCCCGGGACCACCCATACACAAAAATAAAATGAATGCACGCATGACTAAGTCGCTTTGGATAAAAGCGTCTGCTAAATGGCTTATTATTATTATTAACCGACTTGCCTAGTTCAATAAAAGTGAAAATAATTCAAATAAAAATACAGTGGCTTGCAAAAGTATTCGCCTTGGCATTTTTCCTATTTTATTGTCTTCCAACCTGGAATTAAAATGGATTTTTGGGGGGTTTGTATCTTTTGATTTAAACAACATGCCTACCACTTTGAAGATGCAAAATATTTTTTCTTGTGAAAAACAAGAAATAAGACAAAAGAACAGCGTGCATAACTATTCACCCCCAAAAGTCAACTTTGTAGAGCCACCTTTTGCAGCAATTACAGCTGCAAGTCTCTTGGGGTGTCTCTATAAGCTTGGTACGTCTAGCCACTGGGATTTTTGCCCATTCTTCAAGGCAAAACTGCTCCAGCTCCTTCAAATTGGATGGGTTCCGCTAGTGTACAGCAATCTTTAAGTCATACCACACACAGATTCTTAATTGGATTGAGGTCTGGGCTTTGACTAGGCCATTCAAAGACATTTAAATGTTTCCCCTTAAACCACTCAAGTGTTGCTTTAGCAGTATGCTTAGGGTCATTGTCCTGCTGGAAGGTGAACTGATCTCATCTGACCAGAGTACCTTCTTCCATATGTTTGGGGAGTCTCACACATGCCTTTTGGCGAACACCAAACACGTTTGCTTATTTTTTTCTTTAAGCAATGGCTTTTTTCTGGCCACTCTTCCGTAAAGCCCAGCTCTGTGGAGTGTACGGCTTAAAGTGGTCCTATGGATAGATACTCCAAGCTACGCTGTGGAGCTTTGCAGCTCGTTCAGGGTTATCTTTGGTCTCTTTGTTGCCTCTCTGATTAATGCCCTCCTTGCCTGGTCCGTGAGTTTTGGTGGGCGGCCCTCTCTTGGACGGTTTGTTGTGGTGCCATATTCTTTCCATTTTTTAATAAATGGATTTAATGGTGCTCTGTGGGATGTTCAAAGTTTCTGATAAAAAAAATTATAAGCCAACCCTGATCTGTACTTCTCCACAACTTTGTCCCTGACCTGTTTGGAAAGCTCCTTGGTCTTCATGGTGCCGCTTGCTTGGTGGTGCCCCTTGCTTAGCGGTGTTGCAGACTCTGGGGCCATTCAGAACAGTTGTGTGTGTGTGTACATACAGTGTGGAGAACAAGTATTTGATACACTGCCGATTTTGCAGGTTTTCCTACTTACAAAGCATGTAGAGGTCTGACATTTTTATCATAGGTACACTTCAACTGTGAGAGACGGAATCTATAAAACACAAATCCAGAAAATCACATTGTATGATTTTTAAGTAATTAATTTGCATTTTATTGCATGACATAAGTATTTGATCACCTACCAACCAGTAAAAATTCCAGCTCTCACACACTCTTTTCTTTTAGAAGCCCTCCTGTTCTCCACTCATTACCTGTATTAACTGCACCTGTTTGAACTCGTTACCTGTATAAAAGACACCTGTTCACACACTCAATCAAACAGACTCCAACCTCTCTACAATGGCCAAGACCAGAGAGCTGTGTAAGGACATCAGGGATAAAATTATAGACCTGCACAAGGCTGGGATGGGCTACAGGACAATAGGCAAGCAGCTTGGTGAGAAGGCAACAACTGTTGGCGCAATTATTAGAAAATGGAAGAAGTTCAAGATGACGGTCAATCACCCTCGGTCTGGGGCTCCATGCAAGATCTCACCTTGTGGGGCATCAATGATCATGAGGAAGGTGAGGGATCAGCCCAGAACTACACGGCAGGACCTGGTCAATGACCTGAAGAGTGTTGGGACCACAGTCTCAAAGAAAACCATTAGTAACACACTACGCCGTCATGGATTAAAATCCTGCAGCGCACGCAAGGTCCCCCTTCTCAAGCCAGCGCATGTCCAGGCCCGTCTGAAGTTTGCCAATGACCATCTGGATGATCCAGAGGAGGAATGGGAGAAGGTCATGTGGTCTGATGAGACAAAAATATAGCTTTTTGGTCTAAACTCCACTCGCCGTGTTTGGAGGAAGAAGGATGAGTACAACCCCAAGAACACCATCCCAACCGTGAAGCATGGAGGTGGAAACATTCTTTGGGGATGCTTTTCTGCAAAGGGGACAGGATGACTGCACCGTATTGAGGGGAGGATGGATGGGGCCATGTATCACGAGATCTTGGCCAACAACCTCCTTCCCTCAGTAAGAGCATTGAAGATGGGTCGTGGCTGGGTCTTCCAGCATGACAACGACCCAAAACACACAGCCAGGGCAACTAAGAAGTGGCTCCGTAAGAAGCATCTCAAGGTCCTGGAGTGGCCTAGCCAGTCTCCAGACCTGAACCCAATAGAAAATCTTTGGAGGGAGCTGAAAGTCCGTATTGCCCAGCGACAGCCCCTAAACCTGAAGGATCTGGAGAAGGTCTGTATGGAGGAGTGGGCCAAAATCCCTGCTGCAGTGTGTGCAAACCTGGTCAAGACCTACAGGAAACGTATGATCTCTGTAATTGCAAACAAAGGTTTCTGTACCAAATATTAAGTTCTGCTTTTCTGATGTATCAAATACTTATGTCATGCAATAAAATGCAAATTAATTACTTAAGTCATACAATGTGATTTTCTGGATTTTTGTTTTAGATTCCGTCTCTCACAGTTGAAGTGTACCTATGATAAAAATTACAGACCTCTACATGCTTTGTAAGTAGGAAAACCTGCAAAATCAGCAGTGTATCAAATACTTGTTCTCCCCACTGTGTGTGTGTGTATGTATATATAAGTTATTTTTTCCACCAATTTGGACTATTTTGTGTATGTCCATTACATTAAATCCAAATAAAAATCAATTTAAATTACAGGTTTTAATGCAACAAAATAGGAAAACCGCCAAGGGGGATTAATACTTTTGCAAGGCACTGTACATGTTTGTGTATCTTGGTTTTTAGATTTGTAATGATGGCTGCACTAGCAGCACCAGTGTACTTGCCATATTTCTCTCTGGTTGCTGTTGTAGTGGCGACGGAGGTTCTAATCTTTCATCACAGATACGTTCTGCAAGCACACCAAACATTGTGGTCTACCTTTGAATTCAGTGACAGATAATCAGTCTCACATGGTTGAAATATGTGATTTTCATGCTAAATTTTCCTATTGCTAGAGCTCATGATGACTCACTCATCGCTGGAGCCAACTTGCTTGCTGGCAGGTGTTTTACCTGCAGCTTGTCCATTCTAGTTTAGCACAGTTCACCCGATTGGTAAAGAGTACTTATTACAACAATTTATTATCCTTCAGTAGCCATAGGGGAGCTCACTCTAGTGGCCAAAGTAAACATTGCTACGTTTGAAATGACGGTAAAGTTAAATTAGCCTATTGTTAGCTGACATTGGCTAATTGAGTGACCGCCAGTGACTGACGAGAAAAACTGCTGATGCACAAGACCATTTCAAAATTACACCTTGTGTATTCTACTATAACTCAAGAGTTAGTTGAGACCCTGAATGAGTTCCAAATGTGTGTGTGTGTGTATATGGGTTTTTTTTGTGTAAAAATGAATCATTTTTTTGTAATTTCTCCGCGGGCCACCAAAAAGGGGGCCAGCGGGCCGCCAGTTGCCCATCCCTGACATATAACATGGTTAGTGAAATTTGTTATGCAGTAGCTGGCCAGTATCAACATCCCAATCAGATTCCTATTCCATTCAAGCTCATGTCTATCTATCCATCCAAGTTTACATGGTTACCTCCATTTGGCCATGGAGGAAAATGTTCAAGCCCCTTGCCATCCAGAGAAACTGAAGTGGAATTCACAGTGCGAGTGTGCACTGGCTACTACTTACTTACTCTCAGACTCTGCAGCTTCAGTAAAGAAATACACAGGTGTTGTAACAGTCTAAATTAAATTACCTGTTGGATCTTTAGAAGGGTTGTGGGATCATAGGCAAATTGATGCATGGGAATCGACTCATGCCATGTTTGAACATTGAAAATCTGTAGCAAATAGAGCCATTAAATGCATAGAAATAGAATGAATAGAACAGACAAATCATTGACTTGGATGGGGACTCCCGGTCTATTCATTCTATTTCTATGCAATTAATCCTATACGATAGCAGAAATTCTGATAGATAACTTTTGAAAAACTGGTCCCTGATGATCACGAACAACTGACGTGACATTATCTCACTCGTGTCCCGGCGTGCCATTTGGATGAATGTGCCATGAGTGGAGAGACTGTAACCATGGCTACCTGGTGGCTGATCAGCAGTCAGGTGACATGGTTACCTTGTGGAGTGGCTCCTCGCGATAGAGGTTACATAATGAATAATCAGCTTTAATGGAATCTAGGGCTGGGGCAGTAACCCATTTTCTATGACTGATGTCACCTGATGTTAAACATAGAAACATCAATACCTGTCTGGGTACAGTACTGGGTATTGACAGTGTACATTTCTCAGATAAAGTGTAATGTTTCAATATCAACACAATTCATGACAAAGAATACTAGCTTTGAGAAGATTTTCAAATGGACAGCAAAGGATTTCTTAAAACTTAAAAGCAACTGGAGGCGGTCTAAGAGGAGTAGCGTTACCTAGTGGATGGTCGGCATAGTCAGGTCTTTCAATGTCACCGGGGACATGCCTCATGGGAGTCTACATGGGGAACCAATGACAGGAGAGATTGATTACATGGAGCTCACAGAAGGAACCAACAAGACGAGAGTTTAGAGACATGATTACACAGCTCCCGGGGGCTAATGAGTAAACTTTACACAAAGTTTGTGTGGCTTACATCTATTAAATCATGTTGTGTTGACGTATGTTGGACTACTAGGTAGTTAAGAAAAAAAGCTCTTATCAGCACATTAGCCCCATTTAGAAATGTACAAGAAAGGTGGCCTTACGAGTGGGTAGTGAGGGCGTAGTTTTCCCGTGTAGCGGTAGCCAGGCCATGGGTCTGTGTTGGTGTCGTTCTCCACACAGTTCTTTGCCTCATCCTGGTTCTTATCATCCTCTGCAAAAACAGAATGTAATATAGGACATCTGATTTGACACCATTTTGAAAGATCAGTTAGGTGTTCACACATACACACTAGACTACTCTAGGGCAAGCTTACCCTGTGAGGGCCCAGTGTGCTTTCATTTACATTGATTAGTTGAATCCGGTGTATTGCTGCCTGGCTGGGGGGGAGCCTGTACACTCACCGAATCTCACAGATTGTCCGCACCTGCTCTAATGGCTGGTACGGATTGCAGTGTCTCGTCCATTTTGAATGGCTACACCATTGCTCTATTTCACCATCAAAATTAGAGGATGGAAAAGCTTGGCCATTTATGTGGGCTTTCACATATTCTATGCCTTCAGATGATAGGTCATGTAAGAATGGGAACAATGACAGAAAGCCCATGAAGGGACATTGTGGTATGTTTGAAAAATGATTTGTGCGATAGGATATTGCTGAGGAGGATACATACTTGCTTTTTTGTGCATCTGCTTGTGAGTGGCCCAGCTCCCTTTGAAGCACTCCTGAATGAGGGGACAAAGAGAGGAGAGATACATCCATATGAGACTCCGTACATCAGGGGTGTGTGACCTCAATCAATGGCAGCAGTATCTTCTGGTTGTTTGTTTCTCACTGGCACCAATTGCAGAATCAATTCCTCTAATCGTCTGTGGACTGGGAGTTGTGCATCCCTGCTCAAAACTATAAAAAGGCAGAGGGAGAGAGATCAATGGGCTCTGAATTTCACACATGCTACATAAACCACTTTCCAGTTTCTTACAAGACTAGGTCAATGGCCAGTTGACCATGACTAACATCTCTGCTGCTCAGTTAATTTTTTGACCAGTGACCACTAGAATAGTAAGAGAGCAGTGGGGTAAAAATATCCCACCGACTTCAGCTGGCCTCATGACTCTGGGTAGGAGAGAGGCTCTGACAGAGCTGCCTGCATGGAACGTCAGAGCAGATCTCCCTACCTCCCCAATCGGTCTCTGCCAAAACTGAATCTAGGCCTATGCTGCCAGACTGTGATAAGTTTTAAACTAGTTACACTTCCTTTTACCTTTAATGGCACACAGCTAAACCACAGACAGATGGGTTAATTATAAATACATTTGGCTAAACTGCAACTGGGGCCTGCATCCTTCTTTCCTTGTACCCTTGGCAATTTCAATGATTGACAGTGGTTTACATACTCTTACCCATTGGTAAAAGTGATCGTGAAAAGCAGGTCAACATTTCAGACAAACAAGCCACAGGTGGGTTACTACAGCCAGACCAGGAGCAGAGAAATCAAATGAATAAACATGGCTACATCAGCTTGAAGAAAGTATGCCTCAGCTAGTTAGCTTGCTTAGCAGTTAGCTAGCTAGTCATTTAATTCATTGCAATAACCAATGCCAATGAGAAAACTAGGCTAACTACCCAACTAACGTTAGCTTGCTAGACTTCACAAAGTTGATGCTGATTAACAAACACAGCGCTAGCGAATTAGTTCGCTAACGTTAGTAGCTAGCTAACTAGCGCTAAACTAACTAGTTAGGATTACAATAAACTTATCAACAAGCATTTTTCATACAGGAGGATAATGTTAGCTATTGGCTTCAAATAAAGTTCCTAGATAATGTGTTTGCAAACCATTGCTTTTTAGCTACGGGTTTAAGCAGAAAACGCTTGCAGTTAGCTAGTTAGCTAGCTTCGTATGCTAGGCTACTTAAATGGGTGTGAGGAAACTCAATCAGGGCAGCTTTGTCAGCGCTAGCTACCTCGTGATGAAGGATGCTGGGCCGCTGTGTGTATCATGTCAGACCCCTTTCAAACTGAATGAATTAGAAAACGAATGCTACCTGAGAGCAGAAGTATGAGCCTTGGATCCCGAGCTTGATACAGGTTGGACACTGAAGTTTGGCCTCGCTGCTACAACCTTCTGTTTCGCATTCCCGTGCCTCGATAGCCGCCATGCCTGCCTGCAGTCTAGAGGGGTAGAGACTGAGGGGGAGTGGACGGTCTGTCGGCTGGAGAAAACCTCGCCAGCCGGAGCTATAACGTGTTCCCTTTTGCAGGGACATCACCGGTTAGAAAACCCAATATGGCTGCCAACGCAATGCCATATATGGACATGTGTATGTGACGTCCGAACTCCGTAGCTCTACTCTCATTGGTCCTAACCATTTGTTAACGTTTTTTTGTATTTAGCTTGCGACACAGCTGTCAAGACATCATGGATGAGATCAATGGATCATCAGAAATGGGGATGGATGGATGAATAGATATATATATTTTAATAAAAAAGCTAATCTGAATGCGATGCTCACACAGTTCTGTTCACAAAACGATCAGCTAGGTAGCTAGCTTGGTGAGCTAACGTTAGTTTAGCTAGCTAGAAATAGTTAGATAGGAAATGGCGCATTTTTAGGGTGTTAAACGGAAAAAAATAGTGTTAGAAGTGGTTTTATATTATATATACCTCCTCCATTGTCTATACATTCACACAAACACACACCAAACGATTGGGATAACCTGGTTTGGTTATCTTGTTCTATCTAGGTGTAGTTGCTCACCTCTGTCATTTTAAAGTGTGTGTGTGTGCTCGGGCTGTGTTCAGTAGAGGAAAACATTGTCGAAAGTTCAGATAGAAATTAATTGTCTAGATATTATCTTACGTGTCTCTCTGCCAGGTAGGTCTAGCAATCAATCTCTATTCCTTACATTAGGCCTACTACTATCTTCAACGTGTGCATTGTCATCCATCTGAACTCAACCATGTTGATGCTGTCCTTTATTTATGTTCTTTATTGAAGCTGGGTTGTGTTCATTAGAGCACACACCATAACAAAACGCAAAAAAATTAAATAAACATTAGATACAGCACAAGTTCAGATAGTATTCTACATCCTGTTTCACTGTGTTCTCTAACGTGGCAGCAGGTAGCTTAGTGGTTAAGAGCGTTGTGCCAGTAACCGAAAGGTCGCTGGTTCTAATCCCTGAGCCGACTAGGTGAAAAACCTGTCGATGTGCCCTTGAGCAAGGCACTTAACCTTAATTGCTCCTGTAAGTCGCTCTGGATAAGAGCATCTGCTAAATGACTAAAAATGTGTTGTGCCTTCTAAACATTACCCTGTCCTTTATTGACTTCTTGTCTGTAGTGACCTGTTGTTGTCTTCTGTTCTTATTTCCCCAGTGGCCTGGCTGCGTTGAGGTGGTGCTGGTCTAGGAGGAGTTGAGGTGGTGCCCATGCCCGAGGGCCGAGTAGATAGCATCCGAGACGCTTTGCTCTGCCCTCCCAACAGACACTGGTAGGAGGCAGCCTCATGAACAGGTGATGAAGGGGGACGACACACAAAGAAAGATACACACATGGAAATGGTACAGTACTACAACAAGCAGGCTTAACATTCCCTCCCCAAACACATGGGAAATGAAATGTGGAGGCCTATTTGATCTGACCCCCTTTTGCAATACATTTTGAAGTTGACTATCCGTCTGCAACTACCACAAGACGGTCATATCTTCTTCCTTCCCATCCTGACTGTGATTTACATTTACAGTCATTTAGCGACTTACATGAGCAATTAGGGTTTAAAAGTGCCTTGCTCAATGGCACTTCAACAGATTTTTCACCTTGTTGGCTCGGGCATTCGAACCAGCGACCTTTCGGTTACTGACCAATGTTCTAACCGGTGATGTAAGATACCTTCCTTTTAATATTCTCTCACATAGTAGAGGTTAGGTTAGTCAGAAAAATCATTGATGTGACTGATGGGCAGTAGAGATTATTAACCTTGTCTGAAATATTTCCCCTGAGGGGTAAGAAACTATGGCAACACAGATAGGAGAGATATTTTCCACTGTTCTGTTCTCGCAACAACATGCTCTTCCACACACTCTCTCTCTCACACACACACACACATACTTAGCCTGAGTCCAAGTCTGTTTGTGCCATCATTCCAACTCCTTGTCACTCATGGTAATGACAAATGTTTGGCTTGACAATGACAGCAATGGAGTTGGCAAGAGCACACATCTGGGACCAGGCTACAGACACCTAGGCCTATTCCTGTAGCCAACTTACACTGCACCACAAACACACATACTAACCCCCCTACCTCTATGACCCCCTCCGTCTAGGAGCAGTAACTGTGTGGGACCCTCTCTGCCCTCAACATCCCGGAACCTGTCCGTCACTAACGGATCCCTGACCTCCATTTGGACAGCAGCCTGCTGTTTGAGTTCCTGCTCTTCCTCTACCTGCTGGTGGCGCTGTTCATTCAGTACATCAACATCTAAAGGACCGTGTGGTGGTACCCTTACAGTCGTCCTGCAGCTTCCACGTCTCTGGTGGGTTGTAGTACAGACACACACACACAGTACATTCATATCTACAGGACCGTGTGGGACCCTATAGTCATCTAGCGGCCTCAACGTCTCTGGTTAGTAGTAATAGAGACAAACACATGCAGTCGCACACACACCTACACGCAGTCACACACACACAGCCACCTGCTGCCTCTACCTCTGGTGAGTAAATTCACATACACGCACACACACAGTCATTCCTTCAGTCTGTTTATGTTGCCTCATCTCTCTGCAGAACTTCCATCTGATGGACTACCACCTCACTGTCATGCTGGCCAGGAGACTGGTGTGGACTATATTGTCAGGGGTACTACACTTATCTATCTCTTTATCTCTCTCTCTCTATCGCTAGGGTTCAGGAGACTGGTTATTACGTTAGAAATGAAAAAGCTATTACATTATTGGCAGTTATTACATTATGGACTAGTCATTAATGGGGATTGCCCACTCCTGATTAGGGCTGGGAATTGACAGGGACTTCACAAGGCGATATTATCGCAATACTTAGGTGCCGATACGATATGTATTGCGATTCTATATGTATTGCGATTCGATGTTCCAAACATATTGCTCACCATGTCTGCTGCAGAGGTACAAGAGAAAGCCATGAGAAAATAAGTTTTGATCAGTCATGGAAATAAAAGTGCTGAAAACTACTTGGCTCCCTATTTAAAAAGAAGATGGACAAGGTATAATTGCGCCGGAGGAGATGGCTGCCATTTTACGGGCTCCTAACCAATTGTGCTATTGTGTGTTTTTTCGCGTTATTTGTAACTTATTTTGTACATAATGTTTCTGCCACAGTCTCTTTATGACCGAAAATAGCTTCTGGATATCAGGACAGCGATTACTCACCTCGTACTGGACGAAGATTTGTTCTTTAACGAGCCGGACGCAAAGGATTTACTTCAGACACCCGACAAGGCCCAAATCCCGGTCATTTGCAGGAGAAAGAGACGGAGATATCGGGGACGTAGGTCGGGGTGCCTTGTAAGGATCCGACGGCGAGTGGGTAATCTGCCTCTACCATCAGTGCTATTAGCCAACGTACAATCATTGGATAACAAAATAGACAAGCTACAATCACGAATATCCTACCAACAGGACATTAAAAACTGTAATATCTTATGTTTCACCGAGTCGTGGCTGAACGACGACATGGATAACATACAGCTGGTGGGGTTTACGCTGCACCAGCAAGATAGAACAGCTGCCTCCGGTAAGACAAGGGGTGGCATTATGTGTATATTTGTAAACAACAGCTGGTGCACGAATATTAAGGAAGTCACGAGGTTTTGCTCGCCTGAGGTAGAGCATCTCATGATAAGCTGTAGACCACACTATTTACCAAGAGAGTTTTCATCTAAATTTTTCGTAGTTGTCTATTTACCACCACAAACCGATGCTGGCACTAAGACCGCACTCAATGAGCTATATAAGGCCATAAGCAAACAGGAAAACGCTCATCCAGAGGCGGCGCTCCTAGTGGCCAGGGACTTTAATGCAGGGAAACTCAAATCCGTTTGACCTCATTTCTACCAGCAGGTTAAATGTGCAACCAGAGGGAAAAAAAACTCTAGACCACCTTTACTCCACACACAGAGACACGCACAAAGCTCTCCCTCGCCCTCCATTTGGCAAATCTGACCATAATTCTATCCTGCTGATTCCTGCTTACAAGCAAAAACTAAAGCAGGAAGCACCAGTGACTCGGTCTATAAAGAAGTGGTCAGATGACGCAGATGCTAAGCTACAGGACTGTTTTGCTAGCCCAGACTGGAATATGTTCCGGGATTCTTCCGATGGCATTGAGGCGTACATCACATCAGTCACTGGCTTCATCAATAAATGCATCGATGACGTCATCCCCACAGTACCTGTACGTACATACCCCAACCAGAAGCCATGGATTACAGGCAACATCCGCACTGAGCTAAAGGTTAGAGCTGCCGCTTTCAAGGAGTAGGACTCTAACCCGGAAGCTTATAAGAAATCCCGCTATGCCCTCCGATGAACCATCAAACAGGCAAAGCGTCAATACAGGACTAAGATTGAATCGTACAACACCGGCTCCGACGCTCGTCGGATGTGGCAGGCCTTGCAAACTATTACAGACTGCAAAGGAAAGCACAGCTGCGAGCTGCCCAGTGACACGAGCCTACCAGACGAGCTAAATTACTTCTATGCTCGCTTCGAGGAAAGCAACACTGAAGCATGCATGAGAGCATCAGCTGTTCCGGACGACTGTGTAATCACGCTCTCCGTAGCTGATGTGAGTAAGACCTTTAAACAGGTCAACATTCACAGGGCCGCAAGGCCAGACGGATTACCAGGAAGTGTACTCCGAACATGCGCTGACCAACTTGCAAGTGTCTTCACTGACATTTTCAACATGTCCCTGACTGAGTCTGTAATACCAACATATTTCAAGCAGACCACCATAGTCCCTGTGCCCAAGAACACTAAGGTGCCCAAGAACACTAAGGTACCCTACCTAAATGACTACAGACCCGTAGCACTCACGTCTGTAGCCATGAAGTGCTTTGAAAGGTTGGTCATGGCTCACATCAACACCATTATACCAGAAACCCTAGACCCACTCCAATTTGCATACTGCCCCAACAGATCCACAGATGATGCAATCTCTATCGCACTCCACACTGCCCTTTCCCTCCTGGACAAAAGGAACACCTACGTGAGAATGCTAATCATT